GCGGGGCAGGGCCCGCGGTGGGGGAGGGGGCCCCTCTGGAGACCGGCGGCGGCGCCATGTTATTACATCCCGGGCACCCCCGCCTACCCCGGACCGCTCCCCGCCCGCAGGCCGGGCCCTGCAGCGCCCGCGTCTCCCCGCTGCCTGCGGGGGCGAAGAGGCTGCTACCGCGCCCAGCCCGGCCCGCGCTCTGTTTACAAACTCACCCTCGGAGCACGGCCCGAACCGCACATTAAAGCCCAGGTCCCCCACAGGCTTCCGTCACATCTCGCGAGACCTCTCTGACATCTCCCGAGCGCTGTGAGGGGAGCTGGTCACGTGACACCGCGGTGGGAAGAAAACTCAGCCCCTAGCCGAATGGCTGGTGGGGGCGGGGCGCGCGGCGACCCCGGACTTGTCTGTGTGGCCGGAAGCGCTGAGTGACTGGGTGTGGCTGGAGCTGCAGCGCGTTTGCTGCTGCAAGCTAAGCAGGAACTGCGCTGGCTAGTATGTGGATGGAACTACACACCCTCTGGGTCTGTTTGTGCTTGAGGCGTTGCTTTTTAAAAAAAACAAAAACCTTAAGGCTTAGTATTGAAAAGATAGATTGAGGTTGAGTTCATCAGATGCAGCTGTGGCTCCTTTATTCCCATCCCCCAAAAATCACCCACCCTTCTTGTTTAACTAGTCCTCCCCTCTTTCCCGTTTCCCTCCAAAAGCATTGCTGCATATTTCTCTGCCCTATGCCTCCATTCCCCCTCGACCTATGCTAGCGCCCCTTTTCTCTCATCACACAGGTTCTATATTTTTTCTCCTGTGTTAACTGCACCTGTGAATCTTGTGGCTCCGGGCTTGCCTTCCTCTTCTGATTCCCCCAGCAGTTTTAAGGCGATTCCATCCTGTGACCAAGTTCAGTTTGGCCCCTGGAAATCTCTGGATTTCCAGGGACACAGGCAGCTTCAACCCCTGACCAAGCAGCTTTCACAGAGCAGAGTACTGCCCTATTTAATACAATGACAGAGAAAACTTTACATAAAACAATTGACAGTTTATACCTGGAGTTAGCTTGTTGGGTATTACCCATCCTTTCCCTAGCTGCCTGCCAGACACAGCATATAATTTTGTAGACTCCTTGTCTCGTGCACATTATCCTCCCTTTCGACAGCCATGGCTTAGTTTGCAGATCTTTGTCTTGCTGGGCCTCCCGAACCTGTACAGCCAATTAATGCTATTTCCCTCAATGGAATGAAGTTTCCAAGGGCTGGGCATCTACACAATTACCATTGGCAATTTGTATCAACAATTTGTTTCCCCAGATAGGAAAGCTACCAGGAACACAAAAATACATTTAACGCTTAGGACAAACCCTTTGGGTGGTAGATACAGTAATACAATCAATTTCAAGAGAACATCTTGGGATTTCCTTGTGGCTTCTGGAATATTGCACCTACAATTGCTCCAACCACCAGAGATCCCCCGTGCCCCTCAATCCAGAATCTCTTTCCCCACATGGCAGGGGCTGTGCATGTATTTAAAGCAAGAGAGAGACAAGCGGCCCTGGGCAAACTTACATTTTATATCAAGTTTCTCACCAGATTTCAAAGTGCTGCACAAAGTAGAGATCAGTACCATTATGCCCCCTCCCATATAAGAAACATCAGCTGGCACTTATAAAAAAGATGAGCTTGATCTAATGTCATAATGAAATACCATTACATAATTTTGTGTTTTGAAATTTCCCTCAAAGTTTCCATTGGATATGATTGTACAGGAAACAGAAAGCAGAGCAGCAGTAGGGCAAGCTGCAGAAAATAAAGCAATAGTTTGGGCAGGGAACAGAGCAGCAGATCAGGCACAGGAAAAGGTGCAGAGTAGCACTTGTGGGAGATGTGAGGCTAATTTGTGGTGCACTAGTCAAAAAGATTGTCCCCCCCCATTACTTCAGGACATGGAATATATCTTAAGTTGTACTGAGGGTAAAGTAACAGAGTTGTCCTTTTCAAAGTATTTTAAGAATTAGGAATACTTGGAGAAAGGGCATAGTATATAAGCAGGCTCTTTATATAATAAATCATTATTGATTATAAATGTGTTTTGAAGGATTTAGACTCCGAGGTAATAGAGAGTTTATGCCTTTCAACTATATACTTCCCATCTTCCAAGAGCTTAAAACAAACCCCTCCTCACGTACTGCCAAATTCTAGAGGAGTGGCATTGAATATATTTAAAATGTATTAATTTTATTTTAAACAGAAATCAGAGAGATATATTCTCTAACATCTCTAAAACAATAATGCTGGATACCAGGGAGGGTAACAAACAGGATAGATTGTTCCAGATATAGCAAGTTCAGTGCTGTTCCTTTAACACAGTGTTTGTCAACCAGGGTGCCAGGGCATCCTAGTGCCACAAGATCCTTTGAAGGGTGCCCCAGGAAGTGAGGAAATAAGCAGATAATGGCAGGCTCAGGTTGCAAATGTAAACAGATAAAGAGATAAGGGCATCACTCTGCATAGCCACATTACCATCCCCATTGTCTGGCTTCTCTGCAAGGAGGTAAGCACTGTAATAAATCATTTTTGCAATGAGATGCCAATAAAATCATAAAAGTTTTGCAGAGATGCCTCAAATCTTACATGGGGTGCCTTAAATCTAAGAAGTTGAGAACCAGTGTTTTGGTCACCATCAGAGACAGGCTACTGGGTTAAATGGATAATTGGCCTAACCCAGTATGACACTTACTGTGTTATTAGGTACCGGTTGTTATCACATGGGTTGCAGCACCAGTTACAAAAGAACTATACCCTTCAAGTCTAGCTACCTTGCCCTCATCTCAAAATAGCCTACATGCTCACAGGCAATGGGGAGAAAACAAGGAACAGGAAAGAAAGAAGGCAGAGAGAGAACACTAAGAATGAGGAAAGGATAAGGAAACTTGGATCCATCCAAAGTTAAAGCTGACTTTACTGGCAGTATTTCCACTCAAGCAGGGCTGAGTCAGTTGACTTATGATTTATTATAATCTACCTGATTCCTTCTAACCTTTTCATTTAACAGATGTTAACAACTTTTTTTTTTAAAAACATGGTCTTGACAACTATTCTTTGTTCTGCTCTCTCTTAGCTGCTCCTGGTAATGAAGCTCCTATTTCACAGATTGTTTTTAACTCATTCCAATTAAGATTGAAGGAAAAACAAATGCAACTTAATACAGGCCCAGGCCCCTACCATATCAAAAAAACACTACACGAGAGAAAAAGTGTGTTTTATACGTGATGATACATGTCACTTAGGGTGTACTTTGTACAGGAAGTTCTCTCCAGGAATGACTAGGTTATGGCAGGAAGAGATGTTTTTGGAGGGTCAAAGTTAGCAAAACATTATGTGCATTAAGTCACACCCTTCAAGTGACTGCAAATAATTTGATCTTTCAAAACAGTCATTTCTGAAAATCTGCAAGTATCTGGCCCTCTGGTTCTAAGCAAGGAAAGCAATATGATCAAACTCTTTCACATTGGTGCTATTATCAAAGTTACTGTTCCAGAACCTCCTAACCCTGAAAAAGCCCAGTTCAAAAAAGGGGTCTAGAATTTTTGTTCTTGCTAAGTTTGGACCATTGCCCTGGCCTCACCATTTCAAACAAATTGTCCATTGCCTGTACGCTGAAGCAATTTGACTTCACATTTCGTAGCAGCTATGAAGCAACGTTGTAATTTGTAGATTGCTTAGATCCTTGGACAGAGGTGCAATGAACCTCAGCATGTACGAAATGACAATACTAACCACTAAATCAGACATTAGATTAACAATAGAAAGTGCTGGCTTTGGTAATGGCTAGAAGCCTTTGGGACTTTCAGTGTTATTTGAAGTCATTACAAAATTTCATAAACTTAAGAAATCTTTTGGATTTGAAGGCCAAAGTAGTAAACGCACAGAATTTAGACTAAAAAGGTGACATGTGGTATTGCGACCAAATCAAGAACACCACTTTTGTTCTGTTCTACATTGTGTGGCTGGAGGTCAGCGTATGAGCACTCTTAAGGGGGAAAACCAGAAATAAGTGTCTAACAGTTCCACCCAAAGTGTTTGAATTAAAGATGAAGGTCATAGCTAGACAGTTAAAGATGGTCTTTAATGACATGACTTTGGAAATAATGTACATTTCCACAACACCAACATTTTGAGAGTCCCAGCAAGATGCACAGAATTACATTTGTAATTTACTAATGCCAACATTACAAGCAGATCTCTCTTCACATGGCAAACAGGATTAAGAAAGCAACCATCAGGCAGAAAAGACCCATGGCTTCAGACAGGGCGAATCCCAGGATAGCATATGAGAACAGCTGCTGCTTCAGAGAAGGGTTTCTAAAAAGAGAGTGCATGAGAGGTATTAAATGCTTTATAATTTATGAAGATGCAATTCAAGTATCATTTGATAAAGTTAAAAAAGTTGTGGTTATGACATAAGACTTACAGAATGCTACAAGTGTCATAGCAGGAAGAGAGAGAGACAAACTATACCTATACAAAAAGGTAACAGTGTCACTGTTACAGGCACTTCAGTAAAGAATGAACTGAGATAGTGATATGTAGCTTGCATTAAATTTGGTTCTGGAATTAATGTCCAACTATAAAACAGCCTTAAAATCCCCCCCTTTTAATATAAAAAAGTACACAGCATTTTTACACCACTCAAGTTACAACTAAAAGAGCCTAGCCTGTGTACGCTTCGTGTCAAATATGCTCACCAGAAGAAAGAAAGCCACCAGGTAGGAAATATCAGTACAGGTTTTCTTGTTAAAATTCCACTTGTGTGCAATATAGGAAGGAGTTCATTTGCACAACCAGACCTACCTTGAATGCCTCTACAATATTTTAAGCAGCTTGTAGACAAGCTACGCTATTCAACTCTCTCTCTAGCCAAGATGGCATATCAGATTCATTTGTTACAAAATGAAAGAGTATTTCCCTAGAAAGTATGGGAAGAAGAATATTCAAGTTTTTAATGGATTACCACCCTACAAGTTGTGATGCAAGAGTAAGAAGTACCTCCATGAACTAGAGATCATTTTACACTTCTGCCAGTTACTAGTAGCACAGTTTGAATATATTATTGCATAGGTACAAATGTGCTTTCGCTAGGATAACTAGGGAAAATTATATTTGGCCCTCTTAAAGGATTTTCCTCTTCTCAAGCTTCTGCAGCAAGGTCTGCTATCCAACTAATTGCTACAGTAAAGCTACAAGGTTGAAGTTGGCACATTAAGTAGAAGATATGCTATAAAGCTGTTGTGAGAATCGACATCTAAAAGAATCCTGACAATTGGAGGAAAGGGGAATATGATCAAATTAGATATCAACAACCATCATCTAATCTGTTCCTCCAATGTTGGGTGTTCACTATGTGAAGAATGTGAAGTTGCTCAGTCTAGATTTTTATGTTTCTTTTCAGTTCCAATTCCAGCTTTGAAAAATGAGTCTGATTTAGCTAGTCAGCAGCCACATTCTACATGTGTCCCTATGGTGCCTTTGTTACTGCACCATCATTTAATTCTTATGTTTGGAAGCACTAAATGACGGAACAGTAACAGCCCATACTGCGTGCAGTTATTTTTAGTTGCCACGGTGACATAACTTCAATGTCAGTTTGTGACCGCTGATGCTACATCACTGTAGTGCAATGACACGTGTAGAGGTGCCCAGTTTGCCTTAAGTAATCACTGAAGGTCTATGTATACCAGAGTCTGAATCTTACCAATTCAGGACTCGGAGCCAGCTACATTGGATACACTGCCACTACACACTATTCCATTTACCCAAGAGTATCCTAATCTAAGAAAAGCTATTTAAGAACAATATATTGGAGTTCCATTTCAGATAAAGCTCTACTACACCAAAGAACTTCTACAGCTGGTATCAATATCAATGCAACAACACTTCAAGCATAGTATTAAATCTGAATGCTAGACAAGCTCTTTCACAGAAGAAAAAAGAAAAAAGTTACCTGGCATAACCAATGATTAGACTACCAAAGACTGTTCCAATACCAGCACCAGAACCAGCCACTCCTACTGTGGCAGCACCAGCACCAATAAATTTGGCAGCAGTGTCAATGTCCCTGCTGACAGCACTAGTCTGGAACTCTCTATGTGCTAGTTGCAATACAGTGTTCTGTACCCCATTAAGTATTGAGTTACCCTAAGAAAGAAACATGAAAGACATTTAAAAGTTCAGTCAGACAATATATTTTACTTATTTATTTTGAGGTATACTGTTGAACTAGAGTTAAGAAATACTACATATAAGAGTAATTAGCAATTTAAAACTTATGACTATGAGTGAAACATTTGAATATGGTACTTAAAGAATCAATAGCAAACAAAAAACCCCTCAAAGAACAAAGGGGGAAATGGAGGATGACAGCAAGACGCATTATCATCAGGTGTCCTTTTTAAAGGGAGTCGCATTTGAATCTAGGATTAGGATACTTAGGCTCACCAGGCAGTTCTGAGTTTTTGTTTTGCAACTGAGTTTTGTTTAAATCAAGATACCTCTCCAGTCCGGACCTCTGGCCTAGAAAATACAGATGCAGAAATTGGTCTGTACAAGGCTTTTGATCCATCACGGATCTGTAAGAAAGAAAAAGAGATAGATAAGACATTTGTAATCAACGTTCTTGGTTTTACAACCTCAGTATTCACTAGCCACCATATCATTTTTCCTTATAATAGCAGTGAATGCATTAGTGTCTGTAGATCTGCACTCTTTCATACTGCCAACAAAGTATACGAAAGTACTCGATTTTTGCTTGAAGCATCAAGCATCATCCCCCCCACACCCCAAGAGCACTCCCAGCTAACTCCCACCTTTTGGGAACATGCTTTGCTATCTAAATAAAAATAACAGTCAACATAGCAGTTTGGGAGATTGACTTGCTGGCAGTACTAGTTAGCATTACCTGACAACATCTCCCCTGCCAAATTCAGAAAGGATATTTCAGAAATTCAGATGAAATCCTGGACATTTTTGGCCTGATGTTCCTGCAGCTGCTAAATGTTTATCATTAGAGTTAACTGACTCACTCGTAAGTATTTTTGAAAGCGAAAGCAAAAAAAACAATGATATCATCACCTTGTATCAAATGCAACTCAACTCCCATTTGGGACTAGTGAAGTTATCCTCATATTTAAAAAGAAAAATGGAACAAGGTAACAGCCAAGCCAAACCATGAACACTACCATAAAAATGAAATCATGTCTTTGAAGACTTTGATTGCATTACGGTTACCCAACACACAGAGTTAAAATCTAACAAGCCAGGAATAAATTAACCCTCCTTTCCAAACAGGGCCTGTGCATGTCCTTGGGCTTCCCCCATCATAAGGTCACCCTGATTCACACACAAGGCTCTTCCTGCTTAAGAGAGAAATCTGCACACTCACAGAGAAAAGGCGTCCTCTCAGATGAGGAGAGATTTTGCAGCAGTGATTTCCCTACAAGGCACAGAGAGTCCCACCCTTGCACAACACCAGCAGGAAGGTGGAATTTGACCTAGAGGAGGAGCAGAAGGGAAGCAGGCCGTGCCCCCCGCCTGCTCACCCCCCACCCAGAACCTTTTCCTTTCATTGCTGGGCTGCCCAGCCTGCCCCGCGTGCCCCGAGGGCACCGCAAGAGGAGATCAGCCGGCCTCTGACCTACAGCAAGGACCTAGGGGAAGAGCCAGCCCAGCCCCTACAGCAGCTCCCCACTGCACTCGAGGAACAGCGTCCTGATCCGGAGGAGAGCGGGTGGCCTCCAGCCGAACCTCCCCCCCTACAGACACAGGCCAGGCGGGTCTGTCCCGGACCCCCACCCGGCAGGGGCAGCCGCTCCCTGCAGCCCCCGTGCTCACCAGGGCGGGAGAGGCGGCGAGCTTCAAGCAGGCGAACATCTTCCAGGGCTGGAGCGACGTCCCGGGGCCTTGTCCGAGCTGCGATCCGGCACGTCCCACACCCACCTCTATGCTGACACGGGGCAGAGGGCGCGGTCAGCGGGCGGATGGGGAGGGATGAGGCTGGGCCCGGCGCGCGCTACCTACCGGCTCCGGCTGTAGCAGAGGTCGAACGACGGAAAGCTCAGTGCGCAGGCGCGGCCGGGCCCTTATAGCGACTGGCCCGGATGCAAGGGGAAGCAAGGGGGAGCGCGGGAAGGAAGGTGCCCAAGGTCACTTTGTAGCAACTTTATTGGGAACCCCTGGGCGGACAGCTGACAGCGGGCGGCGGGGCGGGATCCACCTCCCTTCGGCACGCAGAGCCACGCCCCGCGGGGGGGGGCGTCCTGCGCCTGCGCACAGGTGCGGGGAAGCTCTGATTGGCCGCTGCACTGGCGCCGGTCTCCGGCAGCACGTATTGACCGCGCGGACTCCGGGGAGGTCGGCACTGCCGTGGGGAGTGGACGTTGGCGCTGGCTGGGCATAACATTGTTTATTCGTAGCTAATAAGTAGGGTCAGCCCGGTTTCGTCCCGGACGTGCCCAAAGCATCTTCCGCTGCGAGCAGCAGTTGGTTAGGGCCCTGGATAGAAGAGTAGTAAATGCTCAGTATGTTGTAACTAGAAGGAGACTGTGCGTTAGGACCTGTTTTGGAGAAAATCCTGAGCCTTTTTAATGTACTGGAGAAAGGCCCAGCGGGAGTCTAGTAAAATTAGACAGGCAAGGTTCTTTGGATAGATGCAATGTGTTTTATTAGACTAACAGAGTAGCTGGAAAAAAGTTTTGCAAGCTTTTGGGTGCAATCGCCCTTCTTTGGGAACAGGAAGTCTCTGCTGTTCTGAGACTCCTTGGAGACTTCCTGTGCCTGAAGAAGGGCAGTTGTGCCTGAAACTACTCAGTTGGAATAATAAAAGATATCACATCTGCCCAAAGAACCTGACCTGCCTATGTCCTTAGACCAACACGGCTACAACCCAAAACGCAGTAATGAAGTTAGACCAATTTAAACTAGAAATAAGGTACTTTAGGGAAGGTTTTTTAGCAATGAGACATCGTTATAACACGCTTCTGAGCACAGACGAAGTGCACTCCCTGCTGTAACGGAGAGCACTGTATAGGAATCAGTTTGAGTTGCAATGATGTCCCTGTCCCCCAAACAGAAGTTCACTGTTGGTTCCAAGGGGAGGGGAATCTAGCTGCTGGTTGGGAGCCTGTAGCTGGTCTTCCCTATCCCTAGCCAGTGCTGGAGGGTGCAGTGGGAAAATTACAAGGCTGCCCCCACCTGGTGGGGAGGCCTCCAGTACACCCACCTCACCTTCCAGCAGAGGCTGAAAAAACCCCAAACCAAACTTCCCTCTCTACTTTTCCACCTTTCCATTCTGAAAACAGCTGGAGGCTGGGAGGCAGCGCAGGCAGAAGTCAAAACAGAGCATCTTCTGTAAAAGTCTTCAGCTGACCCCTCATACAATCAGGGTTCAGATTTTCACCGGATCGGCCACTTTTGAAGTAATCTGCACCCATGCACTTATTTGGTCATGACTGTTAGGGTCTCCAACCCTTCAGGATTGCCCTGGAATCTTCAGGAATTAGATATAAATCTTCAGCTGAGAGTCACCCAGGAAATAAATTATAGGGCATTCATTAAAATAAATATTAAATGTTGAATCTGATTTATACAGTAGTCTAGTGGGTTTTTAAAATGTAATACTAATTTGCATTTGCCTTTCTGATGTAAAGTCGTTAATGTCAAGGGGTGGCAACGTATAAGTATATCACATCAGGGCCTGGGGGATCATCTGTTCACCAACGTCCCCAAGGTAGGAGAAGAAATACTGGGCACAAACTGATTGAGGATCGCTTCCGACTAGACATAAGGAAAAACTTATTTACAAGTCAAGTACCGAGGGATTGGAACAGGCTCCCTCCAGAGGTTGAACAGTCATCTACTCTGGCGATCTTCAAAAAGTGTCTTGATGCCCATTGTAAGAGAAAACGGCAATACAATCATAAAAAGCAGATGACCCTTGAAAAAGCAGATGATCTTTTTCTTTCCCCTAAAATTAAAAGATCGCCTCTTTCTGGCAGTAAGTGATGTGTACTTCTCGCTGACAG